CAGGTATAATTTTTATAATTCACTCAGAACTTATTTTACTGAGAATTGTCTATTTAAAATTTATTCTCTGCAGTTGCAGAGGTGGAGGGAATGTAATTTGTCTAGAGTGATGGCTGAGGTAGAGGAAATAAAAATAAAGTCAGAGATGTTTGGAAAGCTGTATCAGCCCCGCCTCATCCCCTGCCACTCCCCGCCCCAGAGATGAAGAGGAGAAGGCAGGTGCACCGGCGGCTGAGCTTCGTAATCTCCTGCGTTCCATCCTGGTCTTACTCCCTTGACGCCTCAGTCCCCAGCTCGTTCATGACCCTTGAATGAAGGATTAACGTGGACCTGGAGCTCAAACTACACCATGCAGTGCCTGTTAGGTAGTAAGCACTTAATAAGTGAGGCCATTATTGATCAGAATTGCTGGTACTGAGCCTAAAACGTGGCTGTAAACTTCCTGGGGTAAGAGGAAGAGGATGACGTGGTAAGTTACTGAGCACGCGTCAGCTCTGTTCCTTTCTCCTGGGGTTCACGGGGGTGTGGTGTTGGGAGAGAAAGCACTGCTGGCCATCCTGAGCAGCAGCGGAGGAGTCCCTTACAGTATGCCTCTAAATGCTGTTTTCTTTTTTGTTGTTGGTGGTGGAAGTCAGGTTTAATTCAGGAATACTGTTGACCTGGGGAGAGAAGTTAGGCTGACCCATCTCTCCAGTAAACCTGAAGGAGAATGGCCAGACTGAAGCCATCACCAAGACTCAGACTTACTGAGGGTTTTTTAAAGAGGGGGCTAAGGGAATGGAATGTGGGAAGTGACAAGCAGGAGGGTGGGGGACATGAGCTGTGGGGGCTCCATGCAAGGAGCCAGGTTCCCTCTGGTTTCTGCTCCCATCCTTGCTGTTATCTCAGGGTCCTACTAGCGGGGTGGAATCAGCATAGCTTTATGGATGTCTTCCTTGGTTTTCTAGGGTCTGGATAGTATGGGTCTCATGGTAAGTCTGCAGCACTAGGTTGACTGGAAGACAACTTTACATTTATGTAGACAAGTTTCCCTTGTAGACAATCTTGCCTTGTAGACAAGATTCAAAATATCAAATGACCATGAGAAAAGAGGGAACTCAGAGAAAAGCATGCCAGGAAAAAAAAACTGTCTTTTAACAGTTCCTGCAGCCCAGGTGGTTTTAGGTCCCAACATGGCTTCAGTCCTGCTCACTCCAACAGTTTTGCCTATTCTTAAACTTCATACAATTGCAACCAAGCAGTGTGTTTATTCTATCCAGTTTCTTTTACCTGTCAAAGGACAAAATTATAACAAATGGAGTTAAAGATCTCAATTGGCTTTATTATGATTCTAGAATTAGGCAGCACATCATTCCATAAGATAGAATACGTGTTCCTTAACTACTGTTTTCTTCCACTGGATTTTGTGAGAGGAGCATGACATCAGTGTAAGGGGTGTTCTCTCCCAGACTCAGGACAAAAAAAGAAACCAGTTGGGAAAGTTACGCTATGGTGAAAGCAGATGGTCTGTTTTGAAAATTTAGAGACCCTGATCCATGTAGATGGTTTTCTCTGTGGAAGACTTCCCTTCCCCATAGAGGGGCCCTATGGTGACCTGAGGAAAGCCAGCATTTTCCTTAGGAAGCACCTGGGAACTTGCTCCAGGCTTTGAAGCAATGCCTCACAGAGACCCAAAAGTTCCATATTACAGAGCTTGGAAGAAAGCCCTTTATGGAAAACTGTTGGGGGCAGGTGTTAATGGCTCTTCATAACGGCTAGAGCAAGACCACAGAAATGTTTCCACAAAACGTCTAGTTTTTTTTTTTTCCGTTTTGTCTTTTTTCGTGACCGGCAACGGATCGCAACCCTCAGTGTCGCACCCGTACCGGACCAGGACCGGCAATGGGATCGCAGCCCTCGGTGTTGCCCCCGCACCTTGCTCAGCCAGTGAGCGGCCGGTCTGTATGTGGGATCCGAACCCTCGGCGGGGGCGCCGCCCCGCCCCCCCGCC